TCAGGTTCCTGTGCATGCCGCTTCCCCAGGCTCCGAGTCACAAACCCTGGGGAACCCGGGCTGCAGGGTCTGAGAGCCAGGCACTGAGCCCCCCTCTGCAGGTCTAGGGGTGAGTGGAAATGGGGGGGAGGGAGCTGGAAGGTCTGTGGAGACTGGGGTGCCCCTCAATCCCGACCCACAGCCCCTTGCTATCCCAGCCCTGGGCTCCCCTCCCCCACAGCTCTGATTGTGCTCCTCAAGCCCGAGCAGGGTCCCACTCCCGGGCTCCCCCACCATGGGGACCACACTGGAGGGGTCAGCTCAGGAGGCCACGTACAGCAGGGGGTTCCCCAGTTCTCATCTCTCAGCCTCCTTCCCGAGAGCATCTGAGGGCAGCAGAGGGATGGTGGGAAATGGAACTGCCGGGGGTTCCCTTTCCCCATATGGGTGGTTTGGGGGGCAAGGAGAGCAGGTATTGCAGAGGGGGTAGTTATAGATACCCCAGGTTGAGCACATAGGTGCAAACTGCGCTTACTCCATTGCCCCCCATGGAGTTGGGTCAGCACAAAGTGGGGGTTGTGTGGGGCACAGACCCCCTGGGACTCTCAGATACTCTATGGGGGCAGGGTATCCCCCCCGGGATGTGGATGGTGTCTGGATCTCTTGGGGTTAGCCCCTGCCCCTCCAGCCCTGGGCAACGGGGCCCGTCCCACCCTGTTCTGGCAGGGGATCGTGCATGGGCCATGGGGGATCGGAGCTGAGACCTGCCCAGCTCACTGCAGTGGATGGAGTAGGGGGAGAGAGGAGTGAGAGGCCCATCCCATTTTAACAGGTAAGGACAGGGGGAAGATGTGAAGGTGTGAGTGGCCCAATTGACATTTGAGGAAGGATAGCTCAGTGGTTTGAGCGTTGGCCTGCTAAACCCTGGGTTGTGAGTTCAATCCTTGAGGGGGCCACTTAGGGATCTGAGACAAAATTGGTCCTGCTAGTTAAGGCAGGGGGCTGTTCTTGATGACCTTTTGGGGTCCCTTCCAGCTCTCTGAGATAGATATATCTTCATATAAAGGAGGGAGTGGTCCCTACCATTCTCACGGGAATGAAGAGGACGGAGGGTCCGTAACACTGATAATGAGGAGAGTCCCAGCTGCAGAAGGAGCAGGGTGGAGTGGGACGGGGGGAATGCAGCTGTGGGGCAGGGAGGACAGCATTAGTGCCCCACCCTGTCTGCAGAGGGGGGAGCCATAAGCTCTCTGCAGCACCCCCCTACCCCCATGGTGATTTACCCACATCCAGTTCCTCTCAGTCCCTGCTGAACCAACCCCTCACCATGCGGGGGTGACACCATCACTGGGGGGCTGAGCCAACGGGCTGCAAAGAAGAGGGTGTTTGGAGGCAAAGCACAAATCTGTGAATTTCAAGGGGGTGTGTTGCCGATGTGATGATGTGCATTTTAACTCAGGATTTTTTAGTGAATCCTGGAATCACAGACCTACAGGGTGAGAAGGGACTTCAGGGGTCACCTAGTCCAACCCCTGCCAAGGTGTAGGATTGGTTGTGTCTCACCCATCGCAGACAGATGCTGTCCAGACTCCTCTCGAAACCCTCCAGGGAAGGAGCTTCCATGACCTCCATGGGTGTCTGGTCCATTGTCCGACTGCTCTCACAGCTGAGGAGTTTCCTGTGAGATTTAATCTCAATTGACTCTGCTGTAGTTTGAGCCAGTTGCCCCTTGTCCTGCCCTGTGGGGCGAGAGATAGCAATCTTCTTGATGGCAGCCTTTCCAGTATTTGAAAACAGCGATAATGTCCCCTCCCACCCCGCCAATCTCTTTCCCAAACTAATGATATCCAGTTCCTTCAGATTGTGCCCATAGGGCTTCCATTCCATCCCTTTGATCATCTTTATCCCTCACTCTGGATCCTTTCCAGTTTCTCTACATCCTTTCTATACATTGGTGACCAAAACTGGACACAGTCCTCCAGCTGAGTCATAGAGCTGTACTGTCACCTCCCGTGACTTCCATGCTCTGCCTCTGTTCATGCAACCTGAAATTGCATTTGCTTTTTTGCAACAGCATCGCATTGCTGACTCCTGTCATGGCTGTGATCCGCCACAACTCCCAGCTCCTTTTCAGCAGTGCTGCTGCCAGGCCAGGTCTTCCCCATCCTGTATTTGTGCATTTGGTTTTTCTTCCCTAAGTGAAGCACCTTCCATTTGTCCTTCATGAATTTCATTGTGTCATTTACAGCTCAATTCTCCAATTTTTCAAGATTCCTCTGAATTTTAGCTCCGTCTTCCAAAGTGTTGGCAACCCCCACTAGCTTTGTGTCATCTGCAGATTTGATCAGTCTGCTCCCTAGTCCTACATCCAGGTCATTGATAAAGATGTTAAAGAACACGTGACCCAGAACAGATCCCTGTGGAGCCCCACTTGGGACCTCCCTCCAATCCCACATCGTCCATTAACAGTTACGTCTTGTTTGCGGTTGTTTAACCAGTTCTGTATCCACTTAATAGTTCCACCAAGCCCACATTTCTCCATTAGATCGGCCATACTGGGTCAGACCAAAGGACAATCTAGCCCACTATCCTGTCTTCTGACAGTGGCCAATGCCAGGTGCCCCAGAGGGAATGAAAAGACCAGGGAATCAACAAGTGATCCATCCCCTATCGCCCATTCACAGCTTCTGGCAAATAGAGGCTAGGGACACTATCCCTATCCATCATGGCTAATAGCCACTGATGGATCTATCCTCTATGAATTTATCCCATTCTTTTTAACCTTGTTATAGTTTTGGCCTTCACAACATCCTCTGGCAAAGAGTTCCACGGGTTCACTGTGCTTTGTGTGAAGAAACACTTCCTTACATTTCTTTTAAACCTGCCGCCTATTAATGTCATTTGGGGACTTCTAGTTCTTCTGTTATGGGAAGGAGTAAATCATACTACCTTATTTACTTCATCCACACTAGTCAGGATTTTATAGACCTCTATCATATCCCCCCTTGGTCCTCTCTTTTCCAAGCTGAACAGTCCCAGTCTTATTAATCTCTCCTTCTATGAAAACTGTTCCACACCCATAATCGTTTTTTTGTTTTGCCCTTTTCTGAATCTTTTCCAGTTCCAATTTGAGATAGGGCCACAAGAACTGCACGCAGTATTCAAGATGTGGGTGTACCATGGATTTATATAGAGGCAATATGATATTTTCTATCTTATTAGCTAACCCTTTCTGAATGATTCCCAACATTCTGTTCGCTTTTTTGATGGCCACTGCACATTAAGTGAATGTTTTCAGAGAACTATCCATAGTGACTCTCAGATCTCTTCCTTGAGTGTTAACAGCTAATTTATACCCCATCACTTTATATGTATAGTTGGGATTATGTTTCCCAATGTGCATAACTTTGCATTTATTAACATTGAATTTCATCTGCCATTTTGTTACCCAGTGACCCAGTTTTGTGAGATCCCTTTGTAGCTCTTTGCAGTCAGCTTTGAACTTAACTATCTTGAGTAGTTTTGTGTCATCTGCAAATTTTTCCACCTCCCTGTTTACCCCTTTTTCCAGATCGTTTATGAACATGTTGAACAGCACTGGTAACAATACAGAACACTGGTGGACACCACTATTTACCTCCCTCCACTGTGAAAATTAGCCATTTATTCCTATCCTTTGTTTGCTATCTTGTAACCAATTACTGATCCAGGAGAGGACCTTCCCACTGATCCCATGACAGCTTACTTTGCATAAGAGCCTTTTGGGAGGAAACTTGTCAAAGGCTTTCTGAAAATCTAAGTACATGGACTGGGTCACTCTTGTCCACATGCTGTTGACTCCCTCCAAAAATTCTAGTAGTTTGGTGAGCCATGATTTCCCTTTACAAAAACCATATTGAGTCTTCCCCAACAAATCTATGCATCTGATAATTCTGTTCTTTACTATAGTTTCACTTTACTATAATTTCAACCAGTTTCCCAGTCACTGAAGTGGCTTATAGGCCTTCAACTGCCGGGATCACCTCTGGAACCTTTTTTAAAAATTGGTGTCACATTAGCTATCCTCCAGTCATCTGTTACAAAAGCTGATTTAAATGAGAGTTAGTAGTTCTGCAATTTCACATTTGAGTTCCGTCAGAAGTCTTCTCCAGCTTACTTATGACAATGTCATGTGAGACTTTGTCAAAAGCCTTGCTGAAGTCCACTTTCCCCCAGCCCCACCCAGTTACCTCGTCAAAGCAGGAAACCAAGCTGGTTTGGCAGGATTTGTTCTTGGTAAATCCATGCTGGTGATCACCCCTTCGTCCTCACAAATTGAAGGTTTTATACATTGCTCTAGTAGCTTTCCATTTGTCAAGGCCAGGCTGACTGGTCTATACATCCCCGGCTCCTCCTTTTTCCTTTTTTAAAGATGGCCACTCTGTTAGTCCTTCTCCTGTCTTCTGAGACCTCTCCTGGCATCCAGGAGTTTGCAAAGATTATTGCCAGTGGCTCCAAGATTTCTTCCACTAATTCCTTCAGCACCCTGGGTTGAACAGCCTCGCACCCGACTGATCTGAATTCATTCAGATTGGTCGGAACATCCCTGACGTGTTCTTTACTTATCCTGATCTGCAGCCTTTCCCCTTTGTTGTCCATGGTAACTTCGCTGGTTGTCTGCTCACATGTTTTTTGTGGGAAGACTGAAGCAAAGCAGGCACTGAGCAGCGCTGCCTTCCGACCATCTTCTGTCACCAGATCAGGATTTTATGGCTGATCTCATGATTCTTAGAGAAAATCTCAGGTTTTTTTCACCAATTTAAGGATTATTTTAGCCCACGATCTCTCAGGAACGTCTGGTGATTTCGAGTTTGCTGTGTGGGGGGAGGTCACTGTGCTGCCAGCAGTCCCAGATCAGACCCCTGCAGAGCACAGCAGTACTGACGGTCCACCAGGCAGATCTGTCCCCCCAAACAGCCTCTGCTCTCACACTTCCCACCGCCAGTCTGTCTGTAGGTCTGTCCCAGCCGGACGCCCCAGCCATGGGCAGAGCCCTGCTGCCACAGCATGACGCCAGGGAAAGGGAACTCCCTCCTCAGGTCCCCCTCTGGAGAGCAGGGGGTCCTGCCACGCTGAGGGTCCTGATCCTCGCCCTGCTCTGGATGGGTAAGTAAGCAGCACCTGCAGCCCCAGTGCAGGGGGAAGGGCAGAACCTGCGCTAAGCAGGGCCAGGTCTGTCCCAGAACTTGAAAGGGAGACTGGCCAGAGGGGGAGGGGAGCCCAGTGCCCCAGTGTGGTGCTAGGGGGCGCTGAGTGACAGCGAGCAGGCAGGGGGCTCGATGGAGGGAGGGATGGAAAATAAATGGAGTGAGAATTGGTTAAGGACCCAGGGCTGGGCTCGCATGGGGCTGTTGATCGGGAATGAGGGGCACTGATAGACTTCGAGGGGGGTTGAGCTCGGGGCTGGGCTCGCAGGGGTCTGCAGGTCGGGAGTGAGGGGCACTGGCAGAGCTGGAAAGTGCAGTTCAGGGTTGGTCTCTGCTCTCTATGGGTCCCACTTCGATCCCTCCCTGTCCCCTGCAGGGTCCCTGTCCCAGCCACCTGGATTTACCCTGGCGGCGCCGCAGTCAGTGTCCATGCCGGAGGGTCTCTGCGTTCTCGTCCCCTGCAACTTCACGTACCCAGCCTCGTATGACACCGACAATCCCTCGGCCCAGCTATACGGAACCTGGTACAAGGAGTCTGCTACTGTGGGCCAGGATCATCCCGTGGCTAGCAGTATCCCCAGCGCGGGGGTGTCGCAGGAGACCCAGGGCCGGTTCCGGCTGATGGGGGATCCAGCACACGGCGACTGCTCCCTGCAAATCAGTGATGCCCGACGGATGGATGCAGGGAGATATTTCCTTAACATCGAGAAAGGCATGTTAGATCACAGTTACCGTTCCAATTCCGATGGCACTGACCCTGTGCTCACGATCTCCGTGCCAGGTAAGAGCAGCTGCAGTCACCGCTTGTGAGGGTTCCCCCCCAACTCTGGGGTACAGATGTGAGGACCCGCAGGAAAGACCCCTTAAGCTTATATTCTACCAGCTTAGGTTAAAAACTTCCCCAAGCCACAAATTCCTTCCCTTGTCCTTCGATGGTATTGCTGCCACCACCACGTGATTTATAGAAAAATTCAGGGAAGGGTCACTTGGAATCCCTATCCCCCCAAAATATCCCCCCGAGTCCCTTCACCCCCTTTCCTGGGGAGGCTTGAGAATAATATACCAGCCAATGGGTTAGGAATGGGAGCACAGACCAGACTCTTTGTCTTCAGGACACTGAAAATCATTCAGGTTCTTAAAAGAAGAATGTTATTTATATATATATAAAAGAATCACACCTGCAAAATCAGTTTCGAAGGTAACTTCACAGGGTAAAGAAAAGATTTAAAACACAGAGGATTCCCCTTGGGCTCAGCTTTACAGTTATAAAAACAGGAATCAAACTACTTCTGTAGCATAGGAAAATTCACAAGCTAAAACAAAAGATAACCTAACGGCTTTCCTTGCCTACTTACAACTTCTGTGGGTTTAGATCTATTATTCCAGGTATATTTTCAGTAGATGTTGTACCTGCTTGGTCTCTCCCTCCATTCAGAGAGGGAACAACAAGGAGAGAGCAACGAACAAATCAGCCCCCACCCCAACAGATTTGAAAGTATCTTCTTTCCTCATTGGTCCTTCTGCTAAGGTGCCAACTAGGTTATTGGAGCTGATAAATCCCTTACAGGGAAGGCGATTTAGTACAGCTGCCAAAGAGGGATTTTATGCTACTACACACATAAAGTTGTTACTCTTCCCTCTATATTTATGACACTGTTCATCAGCCCCCCTGAGCCAGCCAGTCCCCGTTCTGGGGCCAGATTGGAGCCGGCGTCCCCAATGGGCAAACGCCCCGTGTCCCTGAGTGATTCTCTCCCCTCTCCCCGTGTCTCAGGGCTAACGGAGGAGCCAGAGATCCAGATCTCCCCGGCACAGGGGCTGCCAGGGATGCTGCTGGCTGGGGAGCCAGTGATTATGACCTGCAAGGCCCCTGGGCGCTGCTCCGGGCCCCCTCCCCAGATCACTTGGTCTGGGCCGTTCAGTGACACAGCCCGGAACGTCTCAGCACAGCAGGCGAACGGCACCTGGGCCCACAGCTCCGCTCTCAGCTTCATGCCCACTCTCGGGGACCATGGCAAAGAGCTCATCTGCACCGTCACCTACAGCTCAGCACAGGGACCTTCAACCCGCAGAGCCATCCGGCTCCACGTTGGCCGTGAGTGACCCCCCCAGCCCCTCCATGCCGGCCCCCAGCAACCTCTGCTGGGATCCCATCCCTGGAGCCCCAAGCCCTGCCCTCCAGCCCCTCCCCCAGGGGCAGGGAACAGGGTGGACAGGGGATCCATGGGGGGTACTAGTTTGTGGGGAGGGGCAGGAGTTCATTGGGGGGTCGTGAACTGTGGAGCAGGGGGTCAGTGGGGGCCACTTTCCAATCTAACATGTTGCCGTGGGTATTTCAGCTCCAGTGAGGACTCTGCAAATCACCGTCTCCAGAGCTAACAGGAAGGACCCCCAGCTATTCCAAGGTATCGCTAGAGGGTGGGGAGTGGGGCATGGGGACTTTCCCCTCTGGGGGGCATCGACCCTGATCCAGCCCCTGGGCAGGGACTGGCTGGCTCAGGGTGCAAGTGGCTCTGTGTTATTCCTGTTCCCAGATCCCGGCACCCTGGTGGCCAATGGCTCACAGCTCATGGGTCAGGAGGGGGACTCCCTGCGGTTCCTCTGCTCCGTCACCAGCAACCCCCCCGCTGCGCTGGGCTGGGCAAGGGGGGGCCGAGCTGTCGAGGGCGCCCACCTCGCAGGGGAGAATCAGCTGTGGCTGGAGCTGCCCAATGTGACGGCTGAGGACGGGGGTCTGTACGGGTGCTGGGCCCAGAACGTGGAGAGCTCTGCACAGGGGACGTTCCAGCTGCTCGTCGAGTGTGAGTGGGCTTAACACACCCGACTCCCTGCCACTGGGTGTGACTGGGGTTAACCCGTGATACTCCCTGCCACTGGGTTTCACTCTCTGACTATTGTCACTGTGTCTCCTGCGCTCCCCAGACAGCCCCCGGCCGGGGACCAGGCTGAACTCATCCTGCCAGCGCCAGGGGCCCAGCCTCAGCTGCAGCTGCTCCCTGCGCTCCCACCCCCCTCCCCGGCTCCAGTGGCAGGTGGACGGGGAGCCCCTGGCTGGGAACGGCTCATGGGGGGCCCTGCAGGTCAGCTCATGGGCCTGGGGGGATGAGGCTGTCAGCAACCTGAGCTGGATGGTGAGTGAGGAGAGGGGCCCCCGGATCTTCTGCCTCGGCTCCAACCCCCATGGAACCTACGCCGCCCTGCACTTTGACTTCAGCACCCCGCAGAGAGGTGAGACACTCGGACGCCTGGGTTCTGTCCCCTGCTTGGGGAGGGGAGATGTGGGGAGTGGGGGCTGGGAGTTGGTGGCAGGGGCTGGAATTCAGGACTCCTGAGTTCTGTCTCAGGCTCAGGGAGGGGAGAGGGAACTGGGACCCCGTACTGCTGGGTTCTATCCATGGCTCTGGGAGGGGAGTGGGGGCTGCAGGGGGCAGGGGGGCTGGGAGCCAGGACCTTTTGCCTCGATTCCAACCCCCACGAGTTCCATATTTTTCTGCTGAGCCCAGTGGGATCAGATGAGAGTCCTTCCCCTCTAGGGAGCACCGGCTATGACTTGGCCCCAGGGACTGTCTGGCTCAGAGGGCTGAGACTTTCCCCTTTAGGGGGTGCCAGCTTGGATCTGGCCCCAGGGTGGGGGCTGGCTGGCTCAGGGCAGGGGTTGCAGGGATCTATCCCAGACTCTCGGCTTGTTCTAGCTCCCACAGGTGGCCTCACTCGGGCATTTATCGAAATCAGCTGCAAACTCGTCTTCGTGGCAACTGGATTCATCCTGGCCTATTACCTCACCCTGCTCTATTACAGACGGTAACTCAGCTACTGACCCTCCTACCCACCAACCCAACTATGTACCCACCTAGCTACCAACCCACTGACCCACCCATCTAGCCACCTACCATACTGCCTAGCTACCAACCCACTGACCCAGCCACCCACTGATCTACCCACCTACATTCCCACCTACCTCCTATCTATCTGCCCACTAATCCAACTTCCTACCTACCCACCCACGTATGTACCCATCTACCCACCTACCACCCCACCCACACATACCTCATCTATCTAATCTATCTATCCATCCTGCCAGCCACATACATACCCCAGAATCTCTCTCTCTCTCCCAGGACACCCTGCTGCTGTTGTGGAAGCATAGGGAAGGACAGGCCAGGGGCCAGGGAATCCACGGTGCCCGAGACCGGTGTGTAGATCGGGCCATTCCTCAGCCACCGAAGAGTTGACAAGGAATTGGAATATCACGGGACTGAGGAAATGGAGAATGAGACCTCAGCTGGGGGGACTGCCACCCTGGGTGAGGCCAATGGGCCCGTTTAGCCCAGTATCCCGCCCCCTCCCTATCCCTCCGGATCAGACCCATCATGGGTCCATCTAGCCCAGTATCCCGCCCCCTCCCTCCCCCTCCAGCTCAGACACATGGGCCTGGGAAGCATGTGGAAGCTGCCTGTAATATTTATATGACCAGTAGATGATCTGTTTTATTGCCCTGACAGTCATGACCAGGGGCGGCCTAAGGAAAATGGCACCCTGGGCGAACTTATATTTTGGTGCCCCCCCATCACTCCTGGCCCCCACGGGCTCCCTGGACTTCCCCCCCCCCCCGCATCACCTCTGGGCCCTGTTGCCTCCCACAGTGTTTAATTTGTATTGAAAGAGATGCCAGAGCTCAACTGTCGCTCAAATTAAGCCCTAGCAGGGAGGCCTGATACTGGCGGGTGCTGGCTGGGAACCCAGCTCTGAAGGCAATGCCACTGCCAGCAGCAGTGCAGAAGTCAGGGGGGCCTGGCACATGGTGTATTGCCACCCTCCTGCTCTGTGGCTGTGGATTGTGGTGCCTGATGCTCGGCATGTGGCTCAAGGCTTCGCGCTGGCACACGTGGGCTGCATCTCACCAGAGCCCACGGCCTCCTGGAGCCCTCTGCCCACTCCTGGCTCACCTGGGGCGGGGGCACCAGTTCAGATTTGGGGTGGTGGGGGGTGGCAGGAAACTTTAACCATGATTCCAGGGACTACTTAGGCACCTGAAAACTCTCAGGGCTTTTTCAGATATTAACATAGGGATTAGCCGACAGGAGCACTGTATCTAGCTGTTATATAAAGAAAGAAAAAATATATACAAATGCCAATTAAAGCCACATTTAAAGCTTATATGTACATTTAGAACAGTCAGGAGATAATACAGCAAGATATTCCCAATCCCAAGCCTTGAGGTATCAGTTCTGGAGCTTTACGCAAATATCAGAAACACACGTCTGATACTTCACACACTATCTTTAGTAGAGATAAATAAAAATAAATAAAATCTGCTTACACAGACACAATGTGTTACTGCCATTGTCTCCTCTATTTTAGTCCATTCTTTTTCACTTAAAACATAATTTTCACATATGTGATTGAGGTTTTTTTTCTCTTTCATTAAGAAAGGGAATTCATTTTTCTAATTATTTTGGCATTTATAAAAACAACAAGGAGTCTGGTGGCACCTTAAAGACTAATAGATTTATTTGGGCATAAGCTTTCATGGGTAAAAACCTCACTTCTTCCCCTGATATTTGACATTTATGTTTACCGACCACAATCATGTATGTGACTCACTAACATTTGACTCCATCATTGCTATTGGTATCATAGTTAGAACTGCAGTTATTTTCATGCAAATTGTAAGTTAATTTACAGATATAACTAAAAATACAATTTGAAAATAAATTACCTTTATCTGCGCAGTGTCTATAGTTCTGTGTTTAGCTAATGTTTTTGAAACTGGAATTACTAAAGTGAGTACAAGCTACAGTTCCATTCTAGGAGAATACTATTATTTGATTGTACCAATTTACATAATGAATGACAAAGCACAATATGATAATAACGGTAATAATGATAATTACTCCAGGCAGGACAGGTTAGGCAGTTTAGAACTCACTACTCAGAGAATTCAATGTGAGCACAAGAGAGAAATAAAATTATGAAATGCAGAGACCAGTGAAAAAACTCAAATAACGGCACTTTGAAAGAATAAAATTACAGAGCATATATGTGCATTGCAGGAAGTAACAACAAGTAACAACAGCAATATAAGTATATGTTGGGTGGGGTGAGTGTGAAAGAGACAGTGTGTGTGAGCTGCGGGTGTGTGTGAGCTGGGGGAGTGTGTGCGGAGACCGCATGCTGCCCCTTTAAGAGAGCGGAACTCAGCAGTCTGAGGAAAGCTCCTTCAGACATAGCAGCAGCCGTCAGCCCCACTCGCGGTGAGCCCTGTCCCCCCACCCCACCTGCTCTGCGGAGATGGGGTACATGGGGGGGCAGGGGACAGCCTGACATCAGAGCCCCTCCCCCCTGCTCCTTACAGCAGACAGTAAACTCCCAGGAGCAGCCTCCGGAGCAGGGGTGCCCCCCGCTGGCATCTGAAGCCCCGCGGCTCCTGCCCCTGCCTTGAAGCCGCCCCTGTGACGTTACACTCCATCCTGCTTTATAAAAATATGTTTATAAATGTGAATATAATGTAACTGGAATGTGCTTTATGCAAAATGTCTCTTGTAAAGTATCATTACAAAGTTTATAATCTACATTATAAATTTATCATTACAAAGCTTATAATCTGTGTTCCTCCTATTTGTATGAATGCATCATTCTTGTACCTGAAACTAGGAAGATGTAGCATAACTCTGAGGCCCGATTGTAATTATGCAAAGTCTGGGCCATTAATGGTGGTTTAGAATCTTGATGGCTCCCATTGACTAGGACAATTGACTCTAGATGGCTCTGTTTACCTGCAAGTCTCCATTGCATCTTTAACCTGGTGCTTTTCCATTTAGAAGGAGGGGTGGAAACTCAGAGGGAGACAAAGGGGGGGAGGGATAGCTCAGTGGTTTATATATGCATCCGAAGAAGTGGGTTGTAGCCCACGAAAGCTTATGCTCTAATAAATTTGTTAGTCTCTAAGGTGCCACAAGTACTCCTGTTCTTTTTGCGGATACAGACTAACACGGCTGCTACTCTGAAATCAGTGGTTTAAGCATTGGCCTGCTAAATCCAGGGTTGTGAATTCAATCCTTGAGGGGGCCACTTAGGGATCTGGGGCAAAATCAGTACTTGGTCCTGCTATTGAAGGCAGGGGGCTGGACTCGATGACCTTTCAAGGTCCCTTCCAGTTCTAGGAGGTAGGATATCTCCATTAATTTAAAGGATTCCCTCCTTCTGCCAAAGATATTAAATGGGCTGGAACAAAACAAAGGGGGCTGCCAGTCATGAAGAAATCCCCTAGTTACCACCTGAGCTGGAACTAACAAGGATTTTACCAGGGGAAAGGATTGGGCCCAGACTAGGAAGGAGTCTAGTTTGTGAAAGAAGCTTATTGGAACATATCTGAGGGTGAGATTTACCTGTATTCAGTTTCCTGATGTATTAGGCTTAGATGTGCATGTTTTGCTTTATTTTGCTTGGTAACTTACTTTGTTCTGTCTGTTATTACTTGAAACCACTTAAATCCTACTTTTTATACTTAATGAAATCACTTTTGTTTATTAATTAACACAGAGTAACTGATTAATACCTGGGGCAGCAAACAGCTGTGAATATCTCTCTATCAGTGTTATAGAGGGCGGACAATTTATGAGTTTATCCTGTATATGCTTTATACAGAGTAAAACAGATATATTTGGGGTTTGGATCCCATTGGTAGCTGGATGTCTGGGTGCTGGAGACAGGAGCACTTCTTAATCTGTTTTCAGTTAAGTCTGCAGCTTTGGGGATGTGGTTCAGACCCTGGGTCTGTGTTGCAGCAGGCTAGCGTGTCTGGCTCAACAAGGCAGGTTTCTGCAGTCCCAAGCTGGCAGGGAAAATGGGCTCTGAGGTAGCCTCAGAACATCAGGTGACAGTCTCAAGGGGGTCTCTGTGACAGAACCCATCACAGCTCCATTTGCCCGTGGCTAAGGCCAGCCCTGGATGACTTTGTTTGCTCTATGAGGACCGCAAAGTGCCCAGATACCCCTATGACGAGCGCTGTACGATGGCCTCTAGAGCAGTGGTTCTCCAACTGTGTATCAGGATTCCAAAGTAGATCACGACCCCATTTTAATGGAGTCACCAGGGCTGGCTTAGACTTGCTGGGGCCCGGTGCCAAAGCCCGAGAGCTTCAGCCCTGGGCTTCGGAGCTCAGGTTACAGGCCCTCCACTGGGGATGAAGCCCTTCGTCTTTGGCAGGGCAGCGGCTCTCGGGCAGGCTCAGACTTCGATCCCCTCTCCTGTGGTTGTGTAGCTATTTTTGTTGTCAGAAGGGGGTCGTGGTGGGATGAAGTTTGAGAACCACTGTGAGAACAGAGCAGACCAGCTGATGGTAGTTACTGATCCCTGAAAGACAACACCCAACCCAGCAGCTCTGACAGCCACTCCCAGCCAGCGCAGGGAGAAAGTTTAATGGACAAACTGGTTTTTTTGGGTGCAAAATGCAAATTTGGCAACAACAAAACTTTGGGTGAATCTGGTCAATTTTGCCAAATTGTTTGTTGGGGGGGGGGGGGGGAACCTCCCAAAATTCCCCAGAATGGAAATATTTCATCTAGGCGTTTTCAAAAAGAAATGTTTCACTCTCTCGATCCAAAATCACTGTATGGTTTCAAATTTCCCGTAATTTTACTTTGTAGTTAAAGAATGTCTAAAATGCTTGAAATCAAAACAAAATGTTTCATCCTTTAATCAAATCTATTTCTGACTTTCTGGTTCACTGAAAATTTTGACCAAATTTGATTTTTGGTATAACATGAAAAGATTCCCCCCCCCCCCCCCCGTGACTTTTGGTTC